AACCTAGGTCCTCCCTTTTAGATTGATTTGTTTCGTTTGTTCCATTTGTTATTCTTTAAAGTTTTTTCTCTGATTCATTTTGGTTCAGCCTTATAGGCAATTTAGTTAGTTTTTTTCAATTTAGTATCTTAGCTAATTCTGTAATTATTTATGTCATTGATCAAGTCGTGTAATTAGATTTTTAGTATTGAAATCATTTAAGTGTTTTCTTTTGTTTGTCATAAATTACTGATTTGGCTCGGATCATTCTTGCTTTTTGGGCTTTGAGGACATTTTAGACCCCACTTCAGGGTGTTTGTTTAAGTTCTTGGGTCAAAAATTGGGCCCATGTCCAGCTGACCTTTGGGTCCTTTTGACCCGTTGGGTCCCTGAAGTAAAAATAGGGTTTCTAAGGGTTACATTAGGAATTTTTGGATAGGAAATCCCTTGTAACTGAATGGGAAAACTTCTAGGAAGGTGGGATGGGGATTAATTCTGAAAAACTGATTCTAAGCTAAGGGTATAACATCAAAAACGAAAATTGCAAAAGGATTAAAAGTGCAAAACTGAATTCATTTTAGGCTGCCCTAAGGCTTGCTTATAAAGGCCTAGTTGCTTCATTCTCAAGGGAGAATTTTTCAGAGACTAAAAAAATTTAAAAAGTAAGAAAACGGCTTGGTCTTTTCCAAGCTCTAAAACACTGAAATTTTGCTAAAAATTTGGTTTCTGGCTTCTGGTTTTTGCTTCCTTTTGGTTCATTAGAATTTCTGAAAGATCAAAATCAAGTAGCTGGGTTTTTGTTTGGTATTGCTGGTTGAAAATGATTTGAGTTTGGGATTTTTAAAGTCTGGGTTGAGCTGCTATTAAGATATTGTTTCATTGCTGGTTCTTAAGCTGATTTCTGCTACTGTTGATTGCTGATTCTTCACTTCTTTTGTTTCCTTTTCTGTTTTCAGGTATTTCCTTGAACTATTGAGTGGCAAATGAAGCTATGAATGTGGTTGTTGTGTTTGGAAAATAGGGAATCTATTGAAATGTAATAAGCTTGTTTATTTTTGAAGATCAATTTCCATATGTTCACTTAAGCTATCCAGTTCTTGTCTATCTCCCCTACTTCCTTCTTAAATGTCATAAATATGTAGTAGCAGATGTTTTACTCGTTTCATGTTTGAAATATTGAATTTGTGCAAAACTCTAAAGTAGGGTTCTAATTCTCTCATTTCTGAAGTATTCTATGTGTAAATCCTAAACTATACATATTGTTTCGGCTCTTCTCTTATTACTAATAGGTTGTGGAAATAGATCCATGACGTTAAGAATTTTAGTATGACTTTTGGGATTCAAGTGAATAATATATTGACTCTCTGGATCCTGTTACTGTTGGTAGTAAGAAAGAGTTTAACTGAGTTTAAATTTCATATTATTCATTTGTGAGATTAGCTTAGAATTGAATGTAAGCATGAACATCTGTTTGGTTTGGTTATCAGTGAAATTGGGGATAAGAATGTGTTATTTTAGTGAAATGTGAGTCAATGGCCTGTAAAGCTTCTGCGTTGGTAGGGACTCGACATTGAGTCCTGCTCTTCCGCCTTGGCTCTTGCAAGGTTTAAATTTCTTGGGCCTAGGACTTTAAGGTCACTTGCAAGGAAGAATGGTGTGCCCATTGCTATTTGGGCCTGCTTCTTAAGCCCAGTAACTTGTTCATTTGCTACTGCTATATTTTTCCATAGCGGGATTGGCCCAAAGATGCATGAAAGTTAAAATCCAGAAGTCCAACTAGTTGGTTCATGTTTAAGTAGTTGAAATTCAGAAATAAAATGTTAGTTCGATTTCATGTTTCGTATAGTCTTAGTGGATTTGCATTTAAATGATTTTGCACAAATGTTTGGTTCTGAAAATTGGGCCTAATTCTGGCCCAGTTGATGAAAGTTCAATTTTAGACTCAACTGCATGTTCTATGGCTTGGACGCTCATCCTTCCACTGAAAATGGGGCTCATTTTGGGCCCAAGCCTGAAGGCATCTATAAATAGGATTGTTTACCTTTTGTTATTTGGGTCTGTTTCGTTTCGTCAAATTCAGTTCCTTCGTTTAGTTGCTTTATTGTGGAGGCAATTTCTTTTTAGACAATTGGTTACTTAATATAATGTCTTGCATGTTAGTTGCTACATAGGTTCAAACATTTAGCATAAATTAATTAGAATCCCTTTAAGTTTTTTCTTAATTAACTAGATTCTTAAAATGGATTTGACGCGAGCCATATTAGACAAGTTATAACTTATGGCCCTCAAAAGCTAATTTGAAAATCCATTTAATTTGAGGCGTGCCATGCCAAATAAAATCTTAAAACGCATGGCATTTACTTAATTATTTTTTAATCCTTTAGAAATCGATGTGTGCCATTTAGTTGAATTTTCATGGCCCTCGCAAGTTTGAAAGTGCGTAGGCGCGTAATTTGAATTAACTTCCTTAAACTCGGGTGTGCATTTCATGTGACCCAAATCCAAATCTCAACAACGCTAGATAAAATGTGTCGTGGACCGCGGGTGCATTTCATGTGACGTGGTCCAAGACGTATTTTAGATGACGTTGAATCTTCCTTAAAATAATTAAAAGCGGTTTAATAAGTTAAAATATATTATAGGTTAAAACATGTATTAAAATCTGATAATAAGGTCAATTATGATAGTTTAAACGACCGTGCTATAACCACGGAATCCGGGTGTGCCTAACACCTTCCCTCAGGTTAACAGAATTCCTTATTCAGAATTTTTAGTTTGCAGACTTCAAAAGGAAAGTCGAAATTTCCTCGATTTGGCATTTAAAATAAACCGGTGACTTGGAACACCAATAAATATATTCCAAGTGGCGACTCTGAAATCAAATAAATAATCTCATTTCGAATAATGTCACTTAAATTGGAAAAACTCCCTTATTTCCCCCCTCCGGTGGTGAAAAAGGAGGTGTGATAATTACATGTGTTAATTAGTTTGATAGTCATTTTTTTTAGTTGTAATTAAATGTCAGCCCTAATACCCTATCCCCTAGTAAGATTCAGAGTTCATATGCTTAAGATCTAAGTCTGTATAGTATTCTATTTTGGGGACTGTGCTAAACTATGGTTGTGAGGCTATCATGTGAGTTTGGACATTTGAAAAATTTGACATGTTTGGCAAGAAACCAGTAGGCATTCATGTTTTTTTTTAGATTTGGAATTGGACAGGGTTGAATCCATTCTAGTAGATGAATTTTTCTGAAAATCATGTTAGTTTTGTTTGGTTTTAAAAATCGAATTCTGTTATGATGTAAATAACAAGACAAACTGTATATGAGTTATTATGACATTAAGGGTTGCATTTTATTATAGAATGTGATTTGGCCTCAAAAAATATGTTTTGCATCTGTTTTAAAACTTGCAAGAATTGCTAGTATTTGTTTTAATTTCAAGATTTTCATGAAGAAGTGTAATGTGTTTCAATTGGTTATGCTGAGTCATGCAATTGGGCTTTTGGCGTTGGCCCAGTTGTGCCCAAATTCCCCTTCGCTGATCACATGTGCATTCTGGGCTTCGTGTGAGCCCAGTCGTCCTTTTTGCCTTGATATGGAAGCTTTCAAAAAGACATTTGGGCCTGCTGCCAGTTCAGGCCCTTCAAACAACCGAATACCCAATTTCTTTCAACACCAGCCCTTTAATTATTAAGTTTTAGTTTGAACATTAGCTAAAAATAGATTCAAACTCCATTAGTCTTTTTTAATTAGTTGGACTCTTTTAAATTAGATTGAGGTCTCCCATGTTACCAAAACCAATGATCCATGGCCCTCAAAAGATTAGTTCAAACATCCTTTGAAAGAATAGACTTGAGGTGTGCCATTTCCAGTAAATAACCCATGGCCCTCATATAATTGTTACTGACTCTTTAAAATCGGGGTGTGCCATCAATTGAATTTTCCATGACCCTCGCAAACTTCATTATTAATTTGAACTTTCGTAGTCGCTTTCGTTCTTTAAATTGATTTTCTTTAATTACTAATTTCGGGTGTGCATTTCATGTGACCCAATTTCAATTCTTAACAACGTTAAATAGAACGTGTCGCGAACCGCGGGTGCATTTCATGTGGTGTAGTTCAAGGCATGTTTTAAATAACGTTGAATCTTCCTAAAAGCGATTTGAAATAATTGAAAGCGGTTAATAAGCTAAAAATGCATCATAGGCTAAAACATGTAATTAATCAGATAATTAGGCCTATAATAATAGTTGAACGACCGTGCTAGAACCACAGAACTCGGGAATGCCTAACACCTTCTCCCGGGTTAACAAAATTCCTTACTCGGCTTTCTGTGTTCGCAGACCATAAATAAGAGTCAACTTTCCTCGATTCGGGATTTAAAACCGGTGACTTGAGACACCATAAATTATCGCAAGTGGCGACTCTGAATAAATCAATAAATCTTGTCTCGATTATCACTTAAATTGGAAAAACTCTCTTATACCCCTCTGAGGGCAGGAAAAAGGAAGTGTGACAGCTACAAATGTTGACTTATCAACAGAAATTTTTCAAGTGTGGCTGAAAATTCTTATAATCGTCAAGATTCAGCACGGGGTTATTTCCTAATACTTTTCTTAACAGGGTCAAAATATAAATGGTGGTCCTAAATATATCCATCCAGCGAACCTGACCCAAATTAAAAATCTTTTTTGTGGGTAATTTAATCTCAGAATTGGTGTTTCGGAACGTGTGATACACTTCTCACATAGAGAGGAAAAAACTTAATAGAACATTAACCAAATCTCTCTTTCCATTATTACTTAATAGAGAGAGGTATATTTACTCTCTAAGATCACGAACTTCTTATATTTCTGCATTTTTTTTTCTATCTAAAAGAATAAAACCAAAGAGCCAAAATTTAGTCATTTGAGTTCACTAACATTTCTGATATACAATAGCGAACATGATGTTTTTTCAGTAGGGACGAGAATTATACAAATGGCTAATTCAGTAAAGCCAATGTGCCAATCACGTGCATGAGAAATGCTAGCGCAAAATAAAAATAAAATAAATGTTTGATACAGAGTGAAATCATTGAATCAATCATATTGTTGCAAGAGAACATATAGTAAAAGTTAAGTTACAAATACACATCTATCTTCCCAGAAACCTATACTTTGGCGACATTGCACAACATGAAATTCGACAACACAGTAATAGATGTGGATCTCTGTCCACGTTTCAGCAAGTCCAAATCTGATCACGACAACACAGCATTGCTTCTTAACTTGTTAATCAGCATGAATGTATGTCTATAGTTCCTTTAGTTCAAGTTCATAAGACAACAACCACTGCTTTGTTTTCTGTACATCTGCACAACGTAACTTCACCTGATGGTTTGTGTTGGCAAGATAGATTAAGCTATTCTTGAATGTTTCAAAGGGACAGATTATACCAGGGAGAAAAGGAGACCACTTCAAATGCAACTAAATTGTTGCCTTAGCGTGGTACCCTCTTTCTACTCAGTATTTCCTGCTCTTTCAATCGATGCTGGAATCTGGAAAGGCGAGCCTGAAGGCTAACCAGGCTTGCTGCTTTTCGTGACAGCACATAGCTCAACTGCGATACATAATTGTCTATTAGACTTCCAGGCTGATCTACTTCTGCCAGCAGTTTCATTTCCTGGTAGAGAAAAGGCAACATATGTTAATTATCTTAAGTGAAAAGCTTATACCCTTCTTTCTTCTGGATCCAACCTTTCATTTGTATGTTGATAGGTAGTCAGAGGACATAATAACAAGTTCACTACATATGGCTATTCCCTCATAAAATAATCACCCTTAAAGATGGGACAAAATTTCAAAACTATAGCATCTATTTTCACAATGCTGAAAGAAAATCATTTAGTTTGTCTTGAGCGAGAGAAAAGACAGAAATAGGTGACAAGTCCTGGATGAGCAAAGTAGCAACTAAGTGATAAAAATCCTACTACCCTCCTCTTCAAATCCAAACTTAAAAAGCCAAAAGTTATAAAAATGCCAGCAGATAGTATAGTTTTAAAGGGAGACAAACGGATAAAGATTAAAAAGAAAAAGAAAAAGCATAACTTTGTGCAGAAAACCAGTGCAAGACTTTTATAGTTTCACAAACAAAGCATCCGGACTCTTAGTCAGCGTAGTAGAGCATCCAAGGAAAATGCTAAGGAGATACCAGAATTAAGATAGAACTCAAGGAAGAGTGACTTGCAGTTAGGTTTTAGCAATTGTCATGCATGTTGTAGAAATGCAGGAACCTTCCCGGACACACCTATAAATATTCCTAATTTGCAGGGAGATAAAGTATTAAGAACTTTATTAGACTAGAATAACAATGACTTCGCTTACTTCACGAACAATGTCCATTGTATCTTCAATTTCTTTCCTGTGCGCAGCCATCAGGGCTTCTTCTTCCTTTACAACAAAAAGAGGAAAAGTACACATATGTGAATGTAAGGTCATAACTGTTATTAGTAAGGATATCTCATGAGATAACAAGTTACATCGAAGTCTAACCTGCAGTAATTCATTGATATTCTCATCACAAGGGGGTGAACTAGGTTCATTTTGTCCCGACCCATTACTTCTTATATTAGGAATACTTGCGCTTTGCTGTTTATAACTTGTTGAGAATGACTCAGAGCTTGATACATCTTTTCTTGACCATTTTCCCGGCTTTTCAAGTTTCTCATCACGATAAACTTTCCTCCGAGGTGGAGACACTTTCTGCACCTTGTCCTCTGTATCAGTTGAGCTCTGCAAATTTGATGCCGAGATCATTCTTTGACCAGCTGGAACACCATAGCTATTCTTAACCTCAAACCTGTCCCTATCTGTCCCACCAAAATTTGCTCCTTCCTCCAGACAATTGAAAGTATGATTTGAAGAAAATCTACAGGTTTGTTTATCAAAATCATTTGTGGAATTGTATGATGTGCTTTCTTTCTCCATAACTCTCCTACTTGCTTCTGATACTTTAGATTCATGGGGTTGCTCATAAGCGTTTTCTGCCTCAACAGAAGCAGCCAATGTAGTCGCTAAAGGAGGTTCCTTGATTGTAGGAGGTATTATGCTTGCACTCTGATCTTTTTTGGTGTTTCCACCTTTGGATAGACTTTTAACCCTGTAAATACAATGTCAATAGGTTCATCCACATAATCAAACGAATAAAACATTCAATTTGTACAAAAAAGGCAAGAGCTACCTGTCAGCATATCTCAAGGTATTTAGTGTATGTTCACATGATCCAGCATTGGGAGAAATGCAGGAAATCATAACAGTTTTTGAGTTGCCAACAAAGGAGTCACGAAGTACTTCAGTGAGTTTGCTCCCACGGAACGGTATATGAAGCTGATCATTGTCAAGAGCACGAATACACTCTTTAAGAGCCAACAAGCTCTTGTTAATTTCTGCTCCCTCAATCCTAAACCAGACAAAAATGAAGATTTNGTGAGGTGGGGTGGGGTGGGGATAAGGAATAATCTGGACCTCAAGCATTTTATGCAACAAACAAGCTTCAAGTGTTGCGGTTTCTAACTGGCCAAAGTGAAAACTCAGAACATCTCTACAATAGAACTGAATGTACTTGCTACAGTCAAGATCTTTTCCAGAGTAAAAGAAAACCATCCCTTGAGCATTAATACAGAATAGTAATATGAAACATACAACTCTCTTGAACTTCATCCAAAACAAAGCCATACAACTGTGCTGATCACCGTAGCCTTTTCTCCTTACTGGAGAATCAATCAATACCATCGGAACTCCAGCTTGGCCTATGTTCAGTGTGGTGGTTCGACATATAACTTCATGAAATAGATTTCTTTCCCTTTATTTTTGACAAGTCAAACTTTTCGAAACAGATGCAATGACACGGACTAGTTCAACCTCTAAAGAAAAAAAATAGAATGAAGAAGTCCAAAGAGTTCCAGGAAAGGAATATACAAGAGCAGCCAGATGCATTCATAAGAAGGTACCTTGTCTGTCTGTCATTATCAGTTGTGTCCGCCCCCCTCTCACTACCAGCAAGGTCAATAAAAGAAATCTTTCCGACGACTTTCCCACCCTTGGATTCATTTCCATCATTATTTCGCCTAGAGTCCTTTACTTCATTGTGTTTCTTGATGACAAGTTGTAATATCGCGTGTGATCTTGACGATTCCTCATTTGCACCAGTGGAACCTGTACTTCTTGCAGCACTTCCCCTCTCAATATACTCTTTCACAACCTGCACATCTGAAACTTCAAATTCCTGGAGCCCAACGATGCAAACCTGCTGACGCCCATCTTCTCTCATACAAAGTTTCCTACATAAGAGCGCAAAGGAACAAATGATAAGAAAATGACAGAATATACATGTTTCAAACATGAAGCTCCATATTGGTGAAACAAACAATAAGAAAGGTTTGACAATGATTTATTCTTCAATATGTTGGAGAACCAAGACACCTGAAAATGACATTGAATTGCTGGCAAGGGCAGATAGTGGAAAAGAGATGAAGACATAATTGGAAGATCACACCTTTATGCTTATTGTGGACTGTTTGGGTAGAGAGGAACCTTATAACTTTTGAAGCAAAAAAGAAGACACTGCTTTTTATCATCAAATCAATGAAGATACTTTAAATCTTCAAGTGTCTTCCTCTCTCTTTTTTTTTTTTGATAACCGTGGTGTCTGGGCCAGCTTGCGCGCACCTCTACTAATTCCACGGGATACCTACCACCTCCCACCAGTAACAGGTAACTCTATCCACTAAGGCTTGGATAGATGGGAAGAAATCACCTGGTGTTTTTTGCCTCCGCTGGGATTTGAACCTGAGACCTCATGGTTCTCACCCACTTTATTGACCACTAGGCCACACCCTTGGGTGCTTCCTCTCTATTTTTTATCTTCATCTTTAGTGGAAAGTTATCTATAAGATCAGATACCACCAAAGGATGAATGTTGGAGACCCATTCAGAGGCTCTAGATTAACCATTCTGATTTGTGTTATGCAGGGTATAACCTACTTGAAAAGGAAAAAAAATTAGCGCACTTAAAATTCTATTGACATTCAAAGGAGAGAGAGATTTTCAATGCAGGTAAGGATACTAACTTTCTATCGCTGAGAAGATCGAACAGTTTCCCACCATATATTTCAAAAAAGCTGAGCCACAACTTGAACTTCTGATTACGATAAATTGGCTGATACAACAATCTGACAAGATCATCTGCAGCTCTGAGAGGCAATGGTTGCATCGTGTATGTCTTACCACTACCTGAACCATCAATAAGGGAAGGAAAAAGGAAAAAACATCAATTCTATGATAACTGATCGAGGAGCTGCCCACAATAGCAATGCCCAAATGCAAACAAACTAGTAGTGATAAGAGGCATAAACTTAAAAGCAATGACACTGAGAAATTCATATGATTGGCTTACAGTAAAACATGTATCGCTCATGAACATGCGAGAAAGATGTCAAGAAGAATATGGAGTGCAACACTTTCATAATTTGAAACATCTAAAAGCAGAAATATGAAGAATGAGATGTGGCAAACCATTCCATCAACTCCAGAAGAAAAGGTATCCAAGAAAAATTAGAATAATCTAATCTCTACTCGATCAAATATGTTGTTTATAAGCATGCTGGTCAAACAAGTCTGGATCCCAAACAATCTCTATATTCCTAATCGTAAAAGTCACAAATTTAAAGGGCCATTTCAGAAACATGCGCACTTCAACCTGAAAGCAAGGAACTGGCAACTCGAAAAACCGGATAACTCAAATTTAGACATATTTTTTCTAGATGCATCTCTTTTACTGACAAAATAAATCAAGCTTGTGGAAAATATAGCAAACCTGTCTGGCCATAAGCAAAACATGTTGCTTTTGTGCGCTGAAAGATGGTAGGAATAATTGGTTCCACGGTAGCACGATAAACCTGCAAAATGCATGAGGAAAGATAATGTTTAAGCCGAAAACTTGACATAAGCAAGTAAAACCACATAAACAAAAGTCGAACCAAGCACTTTTGCGCAGTAATTAGTGTTTGGCCAAGCTTTTAAAAAGTATTTCTAAGTGTATTTTCTTGAAAAGTACTTTTGGGGAGAAACAACTTTTTTCAGCTTCTCAAAAACAACTTCTGCTTCTACTCAAAAACACTTTTTTCCTTCTAAAAGTTTGGCCAAACACCTAAACTTTGGGAAAAAAACATTTTTGGCAAAGAAAAGCTTGGCCAAAACAGGCTATAAATCTCAAATCCCAATACTTGGATAGGTTATATAAATCCTCTATATCCGTCACGTTCTATTCGAGCACGTTCATTCCAATTCTAGTAAATAATTTGTTTCATAAAGCAAATTAGGGGTTCCTAAGAACTAAAGGTTCTCTAAATCTCACACTTACCCAACACTGACATACAAACATCAAACCAAATTAGACCAAATAACCTATAAAGACCTAACATAAGTACCAAAATAAAACAATTAAGATTTAATTCCAACAAGTTGGTATTGCCTATATGATCTTTTTCTTTCATTATGGTATTGTCTTAGCTACAATCATACTGATTCTGAGAGATTATAGGTCTTTAAAACAACTTCTATCCATATAATTTTGGATCTACATTATTCCTTTTAGCACCTTCAATAATCTTAGTGTTGCACCTATTGACTGATGCACTTGGAGGTCCACATAGGACATGACTAAACCATCTCCAGCAACCCTCTTTCATTTTATCCTCTATGTGGGTTATTTACTATCAGTCTAACGTGATTATTTCAAATCTTGTCCGATCTTGTATGAAGGCACACCATCTTAAGATCTGCATTATTATGTCACAAATGTTGTGGATATGTTCCGCCTTAGAGGCCCAACATTCACTCTCAAATAACATTACCAATCCCATGACCATTTTTCTAGGTATCTCATTATAGCATAAAAAGCGCTCTCCCATTTTTCACCATCATATTTTACTTCTATATATTACATCTTCATCTACCATGCCATTCTCTTGAAAGATTAATCCTAGATATCGAAATTGCCTACATTTAGGCAACACAGTAAATCACCAATTATGGGGGGGAAAGATTGAAGGCAGTCCATATCTTATTCCAAATTGTTGTTTGGACAAACATAAAAATCAGTATCTTTGTGATTAACGTCTATTCAAGTGACAAGTAATACCTCATCATTTGTAATGTGCTCGTCTAGAATAGCATCAAAACAGAACTCATGCTTCTCAACATAAGCAGTCAAGTCCACCTTCAATAGTGAAACAAACCTTAGTTAGTCTCAGACATAAGCTGATGCCTGATGCATAATCAGAACAATGAATTCCAAACCTTTAGTTTGGGTTCATGGACAGTGAGACAAGCATTGTCTGTTACAGTGACGATGTCATCCTCCTTCCGAGAAATTTCTTTCTTGTTTAGAGGTCTTTTCCGCACCTGGTCAAACATCATGATCGCTCTTAGAAATTTTAGACAGGAAGTAACTCGAATCATCAACCGAACCGCCATATGACACACATAGAAAGGGATTAAAACAGAAGATGAAACAACAACAATAACTACGCCTCAGTCCCAAACAAGTTGGGGTCGGCTATATGAATCCTCACTAACCATGTTACTCCATATAAACTCAGGCTAATTTATACAAAAGAAAAAAAAAAGAAAAATAGAAGTACTAGAAGTTCTTTATATTTTCTACTGACATACGACATATAAATCTCAAAGGCTAAAAAACTCCTACAAAAGCAGGAGTACTACATATAAGCATAACTATGACAAATCAGTTTCTTTTATACCTCTCAGGAAACAGAAAAAATGTCATCTTATTTCTAATAGAGCCACAAATATTTCCAAAGCTGCTGCTTACAAGTACGGCAATCGAAATGATTTCAAATGTTCACCTTTACAGAGAATAACAAGGGTTTTCACAGCCTCAATGGTGTTTCATTACCATAGTTTACATGTGTCCATGATTGATGGTTCAAGCACAAGTGACATACCACTACTTTAATCTTTGCCACATTGTTTTCTCTTGCGTTGCTTTCCTTTTCAATTATGGGCAATCCATCTGCAATATCAGCTTCTGGTTGTGCTTTTTGTTGCCAATGGGTTGGGGCATCAAAGTTACTATCAAATGCTCCATTCACCGCAGGCACGAAAGGTGACTGCTCAAATGGTTCTGAAGTTACATGCTATCAAAAAGTAAAGCAACAGTTATTGAACAGCAATTGCCCTCTAGACAACAAGTAAACAGCAAGTATGGTTTTCACTCTTCACATAAAAAGAATTCCAATCCCATAGCTATTCTACCAATATGTGAAGACACTTCTAACTTCAAACTTCAATTGGGCATTTTTTGACTAAAAATCTCTTATCTTTGATTTCAAAATAGTCTACTGTTAAATAGAACCCAAATAATTAGGATTCTTGTGCCATCTGAACGTATTCGACGAGGATACAAGATAGCTCCTCCACCATTGGATAACCTTCCAGAGAATGGACAAAAAGACTCCAAATAGAGCACAACTATGTTCTCTAAATGAAAAAAAAGTCTCAGTACACTTCCTTTCTCGTCTCGTTACTCCCTTTCTTTTTACTGGAGGGTGGGGATGGAGCGTAATTGGTGGCAGAAAGGGAGTCAGCTAGAGGAATCCTAGTCCAACCAATGTTCCCAGCAAAAGAATGTATACTCAAACAGGAGCAGTGGACTGCAGAACTATGTGCTAAATATCATGCCTCCAAATAATATTTCCATACCTCAGATAAGAGCTCTGTGTCATCCATAGAATGCAGATCCAGAAGCCCAGCACCAAAGTCTCCTCTGAACTCAGGAGAGTAGAAACCATCTGATGCTCCGATCCCTCCTGAACTTTCAGCAGTAGGAGTATATGGCTCGGATGCAGATTCGCTGTTAAAGTTGAGGTTTCTCATTAATTTGAAAAGCCTCTGTTTCTCTTCCATAGACTGAGCTCCATATCCCTTCAAACAACATCCCAAGCTTCAATTATTGAAAAAATCAATACGGCAACATCTAAACAAGACCAAGAATGCCAAAATAAACACACATGACCCAGAACCATAAGAAAGAGAAAGGGTGAAAATCAGACAAAATGATCAATATTTATTTCTAGAGCCTTTAGACGCTACATCAGACAGAACCTCGGAACAATTCAATTTTAACTAATGTAGCAATTATGCTATCGACTGGTGCAGTGCCTTGTGCTCAAACTATAAAGTCCAGATTTGAACAAAATATATGAAATATTCATCTGATACATGAGAACTATTATTAAATCAACAATGCTTCAATCTCAAACTAGTTCTGATCAGCTATATGAAACCTCTAAGTACCTTATGTTCTATTCAGGATCATTTTATTCCAATACTCATTCTATCCCAATTTGAGTGATATTATCTGACTGAACACGAAGCTTAAGAAAGAAAGAAAGAAAGAATTTTAAAACTTGAGATCTAAAACAAGTCAGAGATATTTAAGTGGCTATAAATCATCTCATTAAGGGTTAAATGAGAAGTTTCTAACTTAAATTATTTCTAAATACAGAAATGTATCACTCTTTTGGAATAAAATAAAAAGGAAAGAGTATCACGGAGGGGTATTAAATAACTTGTCAAGGCAATTATGGGAATATTACCTGCATAATTAGGAGTCGGTGATCCACACCGGTAGAGGCTGCCATTGGGGAGGCCAGATGCTGCAAGCCCGCAGACTGAAGCCATCGCGCCATGACAGCATCTCCTGCATCAGCAGCGGGGCTGGCATTGCCCTGCTGCTGATCATACAGACCAGCAGTAGCCGCCCCGTTGCTCTGCTGCATCTGGCCACCCACGTGGCGCTGTGATCTGCGTTGCGGCGCCAATTTCACGATCTGTTATTATACACTTCAACAACAACATCCAAAAAACCCCCAACATCAAAATACAGCAATATCACTGATACCGATCCCAAAACACACACACAAAAAATGAAGAAAACATTATAGATCGTAATTGAAGAACTTACAGGGAGATGTAAAGTCGAAATCGAAGCAGCACATTTACGTGCTTAACACGTTAACAAAACGACTGCGTTTTGAAACGATAAATGCGATTACTTGAATTATAATGCACCGGTTCAAATTTGTCCTAATACACAATGCATGTAAAAATTGCATAAATCCATTGAGAAAAATTGAAATTAAACACGTAGAATAGTCCAATTTGCAGAATTTTATACACACACAGTAGATATTTATGAATAAGAAAATGCCGTACCTGATAAAGATTAAGAAAGTGAATCTGGCGATCCGAATACTTTAATTGTATAGGGATAGATCTGAGAGCGATAAGAGCAAAAAAGGAAACCCTAAATTTGTTTGTTGGATTCAATTCAATGTGGAGAATTCATGGAATTGTTGCTTGGAAGCAATGATAATGGAGAGAGAGAGAATGCCTTTTATCATGAGCTAATTCATTTTCTAACTTTCATGACTCAGAAATTACATATATCTATTTAATTTTTTAATTTTTTATTTTTAAATTTTTAAATGTAGATGTAGGACTCTTTTATTTTTATTTTTATTTTTTATTTTTACATCCGCTGATGTGGTTCTTTTTTCAATTTTTTTTTCCTTGGATTATTATATTTTCCATTCCTCATTTGTTAGCAGGGGGTGATCGTCGGTTGGTACGGTACGGTATTTGGACATTTCAGTTCGGTATTCGGTTTCTTAAAATCCTATACCAATACCGTACTTAATTAAATTCGGTATGGTTCAGGTTTTCTCCTTTCGATTTTGGTTCATTCGGTTCGGTAACTTCGGTTTATTCGGTTTGAATATTAACTAGTGCATAGAGCCATAGACTCTAATATTCTTAATTAAAGTACTCAAAAATACAAAACTAAAAATATTTGTAGACAAAAATATTGTCCAAAACTAGTAAATATCGACCCAAATAGAGAAAATTGTACATAAAAGAATATTTGATCATTAGAAATGTCTTGTTACCTGTTTAGAGTTAATTGATGAACTTAGAGAATAAAGAAAAGTAAAATTTTAGATTTTTTATATTTGTGTTATAATTAATAATATATGTTTTGTATAATATAATATATATTTCGGTACGGTATCATTATTTCGGTATTTTATTTTAAAGTACCAAATACCATACCTAATACCAATTTTTTTTTAAAAACTTAAACCAAATACCAAAATACTGTATACCAAATACCAAAATTTTCGGTTTTGGTACGATAATTCGGTATTTACCAAATTATGCACAGCCCTAGTTATTAGTAAATTCTTATTTCAAATCAATCCTCAGGTATTGTATTGTCTGTTGTTATTATTTGGTATTTACTTATCTTATCTCCCTCTTTTTTTTCTCTCTTCCTTTCTTGCTTTCCTTCTTCTTTTTTTTCTTCTTCCTCTTCTTCTCCTTCTTTTTTCCGAGCCGATGGTCTATTGGAAATAGCCTCTCTACCTTCATTAGATAGGGATAAGTTCTGCGTACAAATTACTTTTTCCAGACCCCACCTATTGAGAATATACTGAGTATGTTGTGTTGTTATTGTTCTTATTTCAAATCAATATTTGATAAATAATACTACTATTTAAAATTCAATTAGCATAAACACATGCTATTGGTCCCTCTATGTAAAAATGTACTATGTTTAGAATATTTTTTCAATTATATTACCTCAAAATATTATCTAGAAAAAGAAACTTAGTATAACATAAGTGTAATTACAAAGTTTAGTAGTTAGTGTGTTATTTTTTGGGGAATTGTTGAAAGATCAAAACGGAGTATTTACCTAGATTGTTGATGTCAATTGCCAAATGTTATATTTCTCTTATAAAAGAGCCTTTTTAAATATAATTGACGAAAAACACAAAAAAAACATAACATTAGATTGACAATCCTAAATTGAGATTTAATTAAAAAAAAAAAAAACTAAGTATGTATTTACAACTAAGAGGATTATATTTGCTTCTAAAAACGCATATTTTTGTATCAGCAAAAAAAATTGACATATCAAAAGGGAGTAATTATAAAATCAGAAGCTAAATAAAAAATATTCTCAAACATATTTTTTACTATTAATTTTTGTAAAATCTAAAAAGTTCAATTAATATTTCTGTAGTGACCAAGAGATCATTAAGGTGTGTTTGGTACGAAGGAAAATATTTTTCGGAAAATATTTTCTAATTTTCCATATTTAGTTGGCTTAAATGTTTTGAAAAATATTTTCCTCATGAATTTATTTTCTTCCAATTGGGTCTACCTATCACAAGAAGGGAAAATATTTTCCAAAACTCCTTCTCAACCTTTCTCACCCTATTCCCTAGCACACCCCACCCCATTCACCCAATCCCTACCCCAACCCCAACTCCCACTTATCCACCCCACGCCCCCACGCCTAAATAAAAATATTATTAATAGTACTTTATTTTCATGTTATAGATAAAAAATCATTTCAATAAATGAGTTTTTTTTTTCATGATATGAAAAATATCTTTTCCATTTTAACAAAAAAAATACTTTCTTTTCATGTAGAAAAAAGTATTTTTTTTTTTGGTTAAATTACAAACTTTTATTTAACCAAGTGAAATATGTACATCCACCCACTCATTTGACTCTAGAGTCGGGTCCTACAAAAATAACCTATTTTTGACACTTTAGTTCCATATCCGGAACTTACTATCTATGTTAACATGGATACCTATTTATCTTTTCTAAGACTCCTCTTCATTTACAGTAGCTCTCACCTTTAACGTGTAAATGTAATATAATTTCTATAACTATATCCCTACTTTCTCTTCTTGACTGTTGAAATCTTCGCAGGTTTCTTTCCATCCATATTTGATATATTGCTGCTGCAAATGCACTTCCCAGGATCTTCCATAGTTCATTTCTGCTCTTTGTTCTTGTTGTCAGCCATGTAGTTTCCTTTTGCCATCTTCCTACTTGTCGACTTATTCCAAAGAGTTTTAGCAGCTGTTCCCATATAAATCTTGAATATGAACACTCAAAGAACAAATGTTCATGAGTTTCCTCTGTATCAGTCATACATAAAACACATTCCTTAGGCACTATTATTCCCCATTTGCTTAGCTTGTCCACCGTTGCTAATCTCTGATGCAATGACATCCACAAAACAAACTGATGTCTAGGTAATATTCCTTGTGTCAAGAGCAATGTTTTCCAGCTGACCTTTGGATATTGTGGCATAATTGAAGTATACGTTTTACTGATTAGATACTTCCCCTTTACTGCATATAACTCCAACTCCTTCACTCCAGTAGTTAGCCATCTCCTTGCTTCAAAAATTTTCCTTATCACCCAGCTAACTTGTTTTGGAGTTTTCATATTTTCCAAATCCTTCTTCTTCATATAGTGATGATGAATCCACAGAACCCATAACTTGTCCTTCTTTTGTGCAATTGCCCATAGTAGTTTGCATATTGCTGCCTTGTTCCATACTAAGAAGTTTATGACATTCAAGCCTCCTGCTGCTTTTGGTTTACAGACAATTTCACATGCTATTGGTACCTTCTTCCCTTCAATGCTTCCTTTCCATAGAAAATTCCTACATATAGTAGTAACCATTTCATGAACTTTTTTTGGAATCAGAAACACTTGTGCCTAGTAGGTTTGCATTTCAAACAATACACTTTTGATCAACTGAACCCTTCATGCATATGATAAAAATCTGGTTGTCCAGCATCTAATTATTCCTACTATTCTATCCACCAGTGGCATGCATTGGTTAATGTTGAGCTTCTTTGAGGATAGTGGAACTCCTAAGTATTTGAATGGTATTTCTCCAATGGTCAGCTTCAACTTCTGCAGAATTTCTTCTCTATACTGTGTAGATATTCCTGCCATATAGAGTGAGCTCTTCTCCATATTTGCTTGTAAACCAGACACAGTCGAGAATTCCTCAAACTGTTTCATCATCAATTCAATAGATACCTTGTCCGCTCTACAACACATTAGTAAATCATCAGCAAAACATATATGAATCACTCTCAGTTTTGCATACTTGGGATGATAGTTGAAATCTGGATTTGAATCCAGTTGCTTCAGATCCATGTTCAAGTACTCTATCACTAAAACAAATAGATAAGGTGACATTGGATCACCTTGTCTTAGCCCCTTCTTTTCCTGAAACTTTGGTGTCAAACCTCCGTTAATCAGAAGTGAATAAGAGACTGTACTTACACATTCCATAATAAGGTTGACCATTTTGTATGGGATACCCAATTCCAGCATTAGAGTCCTTAAGAAGTTCCAGCCAACAGAGTCATATGCCTTTTTTATATCCACTTTTAGTATACATCTTGGAGAGACTGTTTTGTAGTTGTATCCTTTAATTAGTTCATGGGCCAGTAGGACATTGTCCAAATGTTTCTTCCTTCTATGAAAGCCGACTGTGAAGGTCCCACCAAATAATCTACTACCAACTTTAGTTTGTTAGTAAGCTGCTTAGCAATGATCTTGTACATGGTCGAGCAGCATGCAATAGGTCTGAACTCCTTTACAAAGTTGGGATTTACTACCTTAGGAATGAGTGTGATAGTAGTACAATTTATTTCTTTAAGCAGCTTCCCTGTATCAAAAAATTTCAGTACTGCCTTTATAACATCTTCACCAATTATTTGCCAGTTTTCTTTAAAGAACTCTGCTGGATATCCATCTATTCCTGGAGCTTTGTCTCTTGATAATTCTTGAACCACCTTTATAATCTCCTCTCTTGTTATAGGTACCATCATTTCTTGTTGTTGTGCTAGTGATAAACAGGGTCCATCTCTAGCTATAGTAACATCAATTCCAGTCATTATTGGGGCAGCTTCACCTAACAACTTTTTGAAGAACTGTATGAACTTCTGCTGGATCTGCTTTGGATCAGTCACTCTCACATTCTGTTCTGTACAAATAGAACTGACTTTATTCCTTTCTTGCCTAGCCTTCAATTGTGCATGGAAGTATTTGGTGTTTGAGTATCTATATTTGATCTATATTGCCCTTGACTTCTGTCTTAAAATCTTCTCATATACTGCATCCCATTTTTCAATTAGCATCAGCACTTTCTTCTCTTGTTCAATGAGAGTTGGATTTAAATGATCATCATTTATATCATGTTGTATATCATTTAACTCCTCATTTAATTGTTTGAGTTTCACCTCTACTGATGAGTATTGTCTCTGAATCTCCCTAGTATGAATCTACAATTATTTCAGCTTTCTGCATATTTTATACATGGTGTATCCTTGTATGTTTTGGTTCCATATAAACTCGACTGCTCCCTTGAATTCTTCTTGCTGTAGTAGTACATTTAGTAATCTATAAGGTTTCCTCATCTTCATTCTGTGCACCTATGAATTTAACAATATAGGTGTATGATCAGAACATCCTGGGACTAGATATACTGCTTTAATTCTTGCATACATTCCAAACCAATCTGCATTTTCAAACACCCAGTCTATATGACTATAGATCCTGTCATCAGCCCTTCTCTTATTGCTCCATGAATATTGTATCCCTTTTTTATTGATCAGTCCTACTCCAATATCCTCAATGCACTGATTGAAATCAATTACTTCATTTTGATGAACGGGAGCCCCATTTATTCTATCCTCTACTATCATTATACTATTGAAGTCACCTAGAGTTAACCAAGGACCTATAGTCACTGCATTTATACTACTTAGTTGAGCCCATAAAGCTTTCCTATCAGCAATAGTATGTAGGCCATACACAATAGTCAAGTAACTCTGAAAATCAGAATTATTATCTTGTATATGGCAATGAACCAGTTGTGATGATAACTGTAGCAAGTCTAGCTTCACTTCTGCCTCTTTCCAACACACCCATATTCTACCATTAGGTGCTTCTGAATAGTTATCTATCACTTTTCATTCTCTTCCAAACTTCATCTGAATCTTCTTTGCTCTTCTTTGTTTTACTCTAGTCTCCAAACATCCTACCAAATCTACTTTATTCTTATTCAGAAATTCTTTAAACTCTCTCTGTTTAAAGGACTTATTGAGTCCTCTAATATTCCAAGTACTGAATATCATATTGGTGGAATGGTAGTTGGAGTAGACCCTTTTGTAATCCCTTGTATATGCTTATTGCTTTCAATCTTGTCAAGTGGCTCATTCTCCTGAATTCTCAATACTGCATACTTGTTCCTTCTTGTTAGCTTCTCAAGTTCGATAGCTAGTTGTCCTTTTGTTCTAGATTTGCCATGATATATCTTAATCTGTTTGCCTCTTTCTTCAATCTGCATTTGGACCTCCTGAGTCTTTTCTTGTGTATTCTCTTCTCCATTCTTTGTCTCCTCAGCAAGTGGTACTATGTTATCCTCATTATTATCTGCTTTGGTTTTCCTCACCCATTTTTGCTTTTTGTCCTTTTTCCTCTGTATCCCTGGCTATGATTCCCATTTGCATTCACCATTAGGATGCCCAAATCTGTTGCATTCTTGACAGAACACTGGTTTCCATTCATATTCCACTGTTTGCACCCTAATTTTACCATCTGGCTATTCTAAGGTCAGCTCATCTGGTAATGGTTGTGTTATATCCATCTCAATTAACACACGAGCATAAGGTATTCTCTCACATTTTGCTGCTAATCTATCAGTACATACAGGCTTCCCCAAGCAGCTAGCAATTCTTCCCAGGTTTTCCTCTGCCCAACATTGGATAGGTAGTCCTGGAAAAGTGACCCACAGTGGCATCACACGCATAGGCTCCTTGTCAATTTCAAAATCCGGCTCCCAGTTCTTTAACACCAGTGGTCTATTATTGAAAGTATAATGCCCTTTTGCCATAATCAGCATTTTTTCCTCAATTGATTCAGACCTAAATATGAAGTAGCCATCATCGTGCATAAGAACCGTAGGAGTAGTTACTGAATTTCACACTCCATAGGTAAATTTCAACATCTCCTTGAATGTAGGGTTACCTCCCATAACATACCCTATAAGAGCTGATTCCCATTTTTTACACTGTATTTCAATTTCTTTCTGATTCAGCTTTACAATTTTAACTCCATCTCTCACTTTTGGTGGATAGAGTTTCAGTTGTAATCCCTGTTGCACTATTCTATTGCCTTTAACCACGTCTGCCATAGTTCGCTTTTGTTCTCCAGATCCAGCAGAATAGGTCAATACAGTTGTAGTTTCAGTATCCTTCGGTTGTGGTCCTTGCCTGATCGTCGGTGCACTCTCCATTCCGGTCATCCATTGTACAAGTTGAATTGGAGCTAGCTGTTGTGTAGTTCGTGATTCCGGCGTAACCATTCGATTCGATGTTTCCTCAGTACTCTCCTCCGTTTGTGCTTGCTGAGAATTACCTTTCCGACCTGTTTTCCGGCGAGTCATCGTTATCAGCGTACATTAGCTATTCCTTGCTAAACGTGCACCTCTATAGCGATAACCCCCTTTCTTTTCATGATTAAAAAAGTATTTTTTTTCATTTCAACAAAAAAGTATTTTCTTTTTATGATGTAAAAAAGTATTTTTTTTCCATTTTAACAAAATGAGTATTTTCTTTTCATGATATAGATAAAGTATTTTTTTATTTCAATAAAATGAATACTTTATTTTTTATTGTAGAAAGAGTACTTTCTTTTTCAACCAAAAAAAGAGTATTTTTTTTAGTTATGGAGCACAAATTTCAACGTTATTTTTGCATAAAAAAGTAAAGCAACACATTAGTTCCTTTGGGTTTGTATAAATTTTTAGAGACTTGGGGGAGGAGGGAGAGGAGAGTAGCATAAAAAAATATTTTTTACTCTCTAACCAAACACTAAAAAATACTTTCTGGAAAAATTTTCCACTCACCAACCAAACAAGGAAAAATAAGTGAAAAAGAGAGTGATTTTATTTTGTGTCTCACACAACGGACACTAGTTGTGTGAGACCTTTTTTTATCTCACATATTTGTGGACCCATATCTTACACATCCGGGTCCACAAAATTCTGGGACCATACAGTTGTGAGATAAAAATAGGCCTCACACAACTAGTGTTAGTTATGTGAGGCACAAAATAAAAATTTTCAGTGAAAAAAACCCACTTATTTTCCATGAAAATATTTTCTAGGAAAACATTATCCTTCGTACCAAACACACCCTTTATTAGAACCCTTAGTTTCTATTGAAATGGCAGCTATTAGTTTAAGGTGCNCGAATGGGAAAGGGAACTTATGTATTCTTTTTCTCATTAGGCTTTCTCTTTCTTTTGTTTCTTCTTTTCTTTCAAAAAAAAAATATTGCCCATAAATATAAAAAGTCAAAATAGTCCATTTTTGGAGGAATATTATTTTAGTACTAGAAAATATTTTTGGCGCTATATTCCCGTAAAATTTTGGTTGCACAAGTTAGTAATTTATTTTTAAGTGAAATCTTAGACTAGTGGCTCTGGAACTTGGTGAAAACCTAAACTCATCTCAATGCCAGACAAACTTTTCAAGCTGAGTTACTTTGTTTAGAGTCATTGAAAATACGTTGAACATCTTCGAGTAATGACATTGTATTCTATGATCCTTTAACTTACTTTTGCTGGTTTGATTTTTAGTAAAGAATGGTTGTAGTTGGCTTTCATCCGGAAGAACAACAATGTAGCAGATTGTCCTAAGGACTTTAGTCACACTTCTATATTTAATCATGGTTAGTTAATGTGTAAGTTCAAGAATAAATAAGGCATTGTTTTTTCAAATAAAAGAAGAAGAAGAAACAGAAAAGTTAATTGGAAAAAGAATGCATAAGGGGATTCCCTTTCTGTGAAGGGGTATCATTTCTCAAGCTATAAAGATTAAAGAAGTAAACTGGGTTTTACTCAAAGTTTTAACACTCAACGGTAGCAACTAACCACGGGGCTATTTCCGTAGAGACACTTTTAGCGGTCGTTTGGTAGGAGGTATTAGAAAAAATAATGCAAACATTAGCTTTATGCATTACTAATACCTTGTTTGGTACCTTTTTTCAACTTGTGTATAACTAAACATCATACTTGGCATTATCCTATACATAAGTAATGCATAGAAAATCATGGCATTAGTAATACCAAGGCTTTAATGCATGCATTAGCATGGTTAAAGACAAAATTGTCCTTAAAGTCTCTTAAAGCTAGAGAATATGGAGGACATTTTTGTAAGCAACTATTTTTAAAAAAAATTATGCAATACATTATAATTTTAATACACCACACCAAATAATAGATAAGAAATAATATTT